TTGTTTTTTTTTTTATTTAAATCATTTTTTTATTTTTTCCTTTTTTTTTAAATTTTAATTAAATATAAAAGCTTTCATAAATTGAGCTAAAATTAAGCAAATTCTTTAATAGTTTTTCTTTTTTTTTCTTAAAAAATTTTCAATAAATTTTTTTTTTTTAATTTTATAATTAAAATTTTAATTAGATATTTTTTATCTTGAATAATAAAAATGAAAAATTGTTTCTCAAAATATTAATTTAAATATTGTATATCATTTTTATATTGTGTTAATAAATATTTATTTACAATTTATATATAATATATATATTTATTTTATATATTTTTTATGTAAAATCTGCCAATTAACCTTTTTTTCATAAATTTCATTAATTTATTATTAAAAATTTGAAACTTAAATATGTAATTTTTTTATCTATTTTATATTACAAATCATATTTTTGCCTTATAATAAATATTTTTTTTTAATTGTTTTTTATTTTGTCAATTTTAAATTGTATAGAAAAAAATAATCTATAACAATTTTTTTTTTTTTTTTTTTGAAAATTTTTTAAATTTAAAAAAAGATTTTAAAGACATTTTTTTTATTTTATTTTTTGATAATTCAAATATTCACGTTAATCTTAATATCATATATTGAATAGATTATTGTTATATATATATATTATTTTTGATAAGACAATTTTATATAAATGGTTGTGAGCATTCTTTTCAATTTTTTTAAGAAATTTATATTTTTTTTTATATCTTTTGGATTTATTTAAATACTTTTGAAAATATTTTAAATTGTTTTGAAAAAAAATATTTAAATTATTTTTTTTAAAAATAATTCTTTTTTTTCTCTAATATAAATATAAATTTAATGGTCATATTCTAATGATTTTAGATTGAAGATTTTCATTGAAAAAATGGTTTTAAATTTTATGATTAAAAAATAAATATATAAATTTAAAGAAATGGTAAAAAATTAACATCCATATTATTTCCTTTATATTCTATATATATTTATTAAATTATATATTTTGTTTTTATAAATGTGAAAATATTTCCATATGGACATAATGGCCTTGATTTCAAATTTAAATTTATTGCCATTATTAATGTCAATTTATTAATTATACATTAAATGTAACATTTTTTTAAATAATTTTTTTTAACAAAAATCATTAAAAATTTTTTATTTTTTTATCCAATTCAAATATTCGAGAATGTCTAAGAACATTTTTATCATCCTTAAATAATTTTTATGATATAATAGATGGTTTTTTTTTTAAAAAAACATTTTTTAATGCAATTTTTATAAGAAAAATTTGACTTTTAATAAGATTTTTATGTCATGTTAACTATTTTTCTTACAGGAATGGTCTATAAAATTTTTTTTAAAAATATCTTTTAAATTTTAATATTTCATTAATAGTTTGCAAAGATGGTTACTAAAACATTCTTTTTAATCAAGATAAATGTTTTAATCTATTTCATAGAAAAGATATTTTTAAAATGGATGTAAATTTTTTTTCTTTTCATTGGTCTTTGTTTTTAAATTCCTATTTGCATTTTAAAACAAAATTTTAAAATTATGTATGACTTTATATTATTTGTAAAAGATTAAAAGAAAATTTCAGACAAGGAAAAAAATTGAATGTTTATTATTTATAATTAAATTATAAATGTTTTTATATTTAAATATATTGAAATAAACATCTTCAAATTTTTAAATATTCATTTATATATATAATAATTAGTGAAAAATTTTTTTCTCGTATATAATATATATTTCTTTAATATAATATATTTTTATAAAAATAAAACATTATTTATTGTTATTCATAAACTTCTATTTCTATATATATATTTCTTTTCTTTTTTCAATGCAATAAAACCAATTTCAAAAAAAAAAAAAGAAAAAACAAAAATATATATTTTATAAAATCAACCTCCAAAGCAAAAATAGTAATTTAAATATTTTCAAGAATTTTCTCTGTCCTATTAAACATATATATATATTTATATATATATGACATAATAATATAAATAAATTATCCATATATATATATATTTATTATTATATTTCATCCTTTTAAAAATTTATATATTCAATATTGATTTTTTTAATATATATATAAAATTTCTATAAATATTTTTGACACTTAATATTTATGTTTTAAATTAGGAAAATTTAGATAAAACAAACAGTTGATTTTTATTAAATCGATATACAAAATAAATAAAAAATTTTTATAAAATTCAATTTTAATTATTTTTTTAATATATTTTTATATACGTTTTTACAACATCGCCCACGTGACGACGACGTGATCATATTTAAACGGAACGCTGATCTTAAAAATTTCAGTTATCTGTTTTGGATTAATCTTACTTTTATGTCCATCGTCTTTTCATGTTGAATTAAATATAGTCTAATGTTAATTATGTTTTATGAATATGTCCTGAAGATGGTCTACTAGACCGAAACGTCCGACGTTGACATTATATTAACATTAAAACAGCATAATTGCATATTAGGATTTTTGTTTGTTTTATATATATAAATATTAATATATATTTATTTATTCCGTATTTCTACATGTTTTTGTAAAATAAAAATATCAATAAGAACACTGGATTATATATCCCTATCCTTTTTTATTGTTATAATATATATATATATATATATATATATATATATATATATATATATATATATATAAAAATATATATATATTAAAATATATATATTAAGATATGTTAGCTCTATTTTAATATATATATATCTATATATATATATATAGAAAAGTTTCAAATTAAAAATTATAATGTTTTATTTTATGAAAGTATTTATTTATTTATATATATATTTGATATTTCCAATTGTCCTCAATTTTTCATCAGAAATAACTGTTTGTTACAAATAAATTAAGATTACTGTTTGTTAGCAAGTAGCATCCTTCGCTATGCTATCTATCTATCTATCTATATATATATTAAAATATATATTAAAATATATATATTAAAATATGTACATTAATATATATATGTATATTAATATATATATTGATATATATACATAAATATATATATATTAAAATACATGCTAAAATATATATATATTAAAATATATATATTGAAATGTATATATTAAAATATATATATCTTACAAATATAAGTTACAAATATATATATCAATATATATATATATATATATATATATATATATATATATATATAATATTGATTAAGTTCTCATTGTTTTCCCACAAATGGCGTTCCCAGAACTCTGTGTGTATAATTTCAGATGGTAACATATCTATAAGGAAGTAATAGAAGCAAGCTTAAAATTGCGTGTATGTCATCTCGCCTAAGTGTAAACAACTTTGTCTTTCATAGCGTTAAACTTGTCGGGTTTCGTGCCCAAGATATTGTATTAGCGGGGAATCTTACTGCAGTACATTATTAAAAAAATCTGCAGCTGATGCACGCAGAATTCTCGTTGAAACTTACGGCGACCATGCTCTGTTGGAAACAACATGCATTGATTGGTTTAGATAATTCAAAAATAATAATTTTGATGTTGAAGATAAAGAATGCTCTGGCGCAACGAAAAAGTTTGAAGACGATAAGTTAGAGCCATCACTTCATGAGGCCTCATTTCAGGCGCAAGCTGAACTTGCAGAATCATTAGAAGTTGATCACAGAACAGTTTCGAAACGTTTTAAATCTTTAGAAATGATTCAAAAGCAATGACATTGGTACCGTACGAGTTGAAGCCGAGAGACATCTCAAACCAGCAGAAACGGGAAATCGCTATCGACTACAACTGATGCATTGAAGAAAAAATGGCCGAAAAAGTGATTTTGCAACATGACAAGGCTAGGTCACATGTTGCAAAACATGTGAAAACCTACTTGGAAACGCTTAAATGGGAAGTCCTACTCCACCCGCCGTATTCAGCAGACATTGCACCGCCCGATTAACACTTGTTAATACTTGTTCCGATCGATGGTACATGGCCTAGCTGAGTAATACGTTCATTCTTATGAAGATGCAAAAAATGGGTCGACTCATAGTTAGCCACAAAAAGACGTGTCGTTTTTCCGACGTGGAATTCAAATACTGTCAGAAAGCCGTGAAAAAGTAGTGGCTAGTGATAGACAATACATTCAGTGACATGTTTCTTAGTTAGTTTTGTAAATAAAGGATTACTTTTCATGAAAAAATCAGCGAGAACATATTCAAGGTCCTAATATATATATATATATATATATATATATATATATATATATATATATATATATATATATGTAAAAAAGACAATAGGAAAACTGTAATAGTCGCCGACACGTTTCGTCTAATGTGGATTTTTCAAGGTAAAAACGAAATGAAAAACAAAATAATTAATAATAACAAAACAAAATGTCCTTAGCAACTGAAAGAATTAACCCTGATTAGTTTTTCATATATATATATATATATATATATATATATATATATATATAACTTTAAAAATATCAGGTCAGTTGAATCAGATACCTTGGTTTAACTTAACATTATCCTCAGACGATTTTTATCAGTTGGCCTCCCAACGCATTTTTTTTTAAGTACATCTAATGACCGCTATATTATTTTTTAAATAAATAAATGAACAAACGCACGACATTGCGTGTAACAGAAAAGGAGGAGGTGGATGCAAAGAAAGAAGTAAAAGATGAAGAAGAAAAAAGAAGGGAGAAGAGAAGAAAGGCAATATATATATATATATATATATATATATATATATATATATTAATTTTTGCATATTTCATACCCTCGTGATCTTCGGCTGATTTCAATGATTGACTGCGCCTAGATAATCAGGAAAGATTTGAATAGTTTTCATCCAAGCGTTTCAGATAGTAGCAGTCAGACTGTGTACTCAGTCACGAAATAACATTTCTCAAGGCCAATGAGTTATTTTCGTTTGCTTGTAAAATAAAGTTCTGTGAAAGGAAAAAGTGAATGACTAACCTTCGATATGACGTCTGAAGACATATTAGTCATATCTACATTGTATAGGTCTTCCTTTAATTCATGCGCCTGAAAAAAAAAAAGAGTACGTATTACCATACTAATAAAAACAAATGTAAACCTTGTTTTTTTTTTAACAAAAAGAAAATTTCGCGGTTTTAATATTTGCATGAATAAACTCTTAAAACACGATTTGAAAAGGATTTTATTTTTTAAGTAGTTGTACTACTGTGTTGATGTTACGTCTGATAGTTTTGATAAAGTTAAATTGGAAGCTAATCTAGAAAATGACCTTCAATCTAGCCCAGGTGGCACAATAAGTGATAGACCCAAACTAAACTAGTAACGTTCCACCACTACCACCACAGAGCTGACCCTGAACTTTCACCTATTATGATGCATTGGTCTTTTCTCAAGGAGGCTATTGAGACTCAAGCACTCCCCAAATCTGAAGTGGAACTGATCTATTGCTACAGATGCTGGAAAAATGATTTGTTCATTGTACAACTTCAGTAAGTGTCTAACTCCTCCTGCACTAATCTTTACAAGAGCCGGATCCTTTGCCTGCCTTGATAATGCTCAAAAGTATCTACACGGCCTTCTGGCTGATGAATTATTTTCTACCTTATAAACAGATGAAACGCTGCGAACCTATCGCTATATCCATGCCATGTTTTCTGACGAGTTCCATTCTATACTCCCACTAGTTGTGACCTTTATCCATCATTCTACGTACAAAAGTGTGAATTGTCCTCATTATCTTTATATTCCATTTGTAAAGAGTAAGTTCCACTCGAACAGCTTCTTCCCAAAACCTGCTGTTTTGTGGAACAGACTTACGGCAGAATGCTTTCCAAATCACGACAATCTTGACCTCTTCAAGTCTACGGTTAACCGTTATCTTTCCATTATAACCCCATGAGCGTCATATCTTTTTTTTTTTTCTCACACAATACCACACAGTTACTCCTACCTTGATTGGCTCTTGGGCCTTATATTGGGTGAACATTAGTGTAAACAAAGAAATTGCTTATTAATTGTAACATCTCCAAAACTAAACTGCTCTGTTTTAATCTACTTAGAGCACATTTTTTGCCTTCCATCGGCATGGTTGATGATAAACTCCATCTGGGCTGGTGTTTCTGCTGTGTAGAGATTCTTCAAAAAATCTAAAGAAGCTGCAATATTATCGGTCCTAACCCGGTATCTCGGCTTTGATCACATTCCCATCGCATTGACGTAGCTTCTCTATTTTCATGGTAATTATTCTGATGAGTTTTCCTCTATAGTACCTCAATTTCATGAATTTAAGTGCAGTACTAGAATGGCAGTTAGGTTTCCTCATTTGAAATTGCTAAGTGCAACCGCAAGTTCTATACTAATAGTCTGTCCTCTCGTACTTCTCGCTTTTGGCACTCTCTTCCGGCTTCTTGCTTTCCTGTCAACTGCAATCTTCAAAAATTTGAATGCAACATCAATCGTCATCTTCTGTTTCCTTAAATCCTGTTCTTTTTATTGCTCTTTCACTTCAGTAATTTTTCCTCAGTTTCCTTCACTAACAGTAACCACCTTGCGTCTTAGCGGATTTATCGCCTTGCTTAAGGCGAAATGATTAAAAAAAAGTGCCGACATTGGCATAAAACTCGGAAAAAGAGAACAACAGTCTCTTTAGATTTCATTGCGTAGACCAGACTCTGGCCTTCCCAGGTAAATTTCACGTTCACCGCTTCGTGTCTTGCACAATCATCTGACCAATTAATTTAATATTAGACTTGACTTCGAAAAGCAGGGCGGACGAGTACTTAACATTCATTATCCCTCTAATCCAGGCCTGCACAAAAATACGGTCCACAGGAAATAAGATTCCCAAGTGTGACCAGCGAGGCGTTTTCAAAAGGGTACTTTTTTGTGATCATCAGAAGTTTGGTGAGAAATCGCGTACAAAAATCCGGTTCCTCTGTGTTTGCGCGAATTTGTTTTCACTCAGTAGTTTAACTTTAAAAATGTGCTCTTGCGGAATGAGGTTATTTTTTCTTTTTTTCTTTTTTTTTGGCAACATGGTGAATCTTCACATTTTTATTGAACAAGCGTAGTTTAGATGATCAGAGACTGACAACTGATTTCACCACTGACCTAACCTTGCACAGCTGAATAGAGTGAAACTGTCTTATAACATCCAAGGCATCCGAAAACAAACTATTAGCGTTTTATAATCGCAGTTTTTTCCCGTCATAGAACGTCTGAATAGAATTTGTTTTCTTTTCTTATAAATTGGGAACATTCATTTTTCACTTACCACGGTTTATGGGAGCCCCACCGACAGTCTAGATTAGGCCTGCACATAATGCGGGTCGCTGGTCGCAAGCAGTTTGCGAAACTACTCAAATTAGCAAACCTCAGTAGAAATTCGCTGAGTGATCGTGTACAAAAATTTAGTTTTGTAGAAGCATGTTGCTTTTGATTCAGACAAACTTCCTTTGCACCATTTTTTCTCCTGGTAAGTTACTCTAAAATGTTCTCTTGCTAATCATGGCTGATTTTCTGCGAGAAAATGGGGTCTCTTTCTGAATGTTAAAATTTGTGTGTTGCCTTTTCACCCTGACTAGAGGGAGGGCAAACCCAATCGTTTCTAGGGGGTCTAAATCCAACTGCGTGAAATTTAGGAACACGAATCCCGCCTACAACGTGTTACGTAAATGCCTTGTACCAGACTTCTTTCCACTATTCTTTGATCGAAGAACGGTTTGAGAGCCGTGTGCGAAACCGGTTTTCCTCAGAATCAAGATTGGCTTGAGTGGCTGAGAGCAGGCATAGGTCCAGGTGGAAAGAAGTCTTTCCACGCAAATGTTGATAGGTGCTATTCAAGCTTCCTTGGTCCAGAGACCTTTTAGAATCTGAGATGTTACATTAGAAAATAGTGTTGGAAAATGCGTCAGATCTGTTCAGCTTTCCGGAGAAGTTTCGCTCAAGATGGAGCTGGGCGCTGGTTGCAGCAAATTTGAGTTCTCGTTCACCTTGAATGATTTACCAGATTTTCTTCGGTGTATCGATGACCTGGACGAAACCACTGAGCACGCGTTCTACTATTGTCTTGTGGTCAACTTGCTTTGGAATTCCTTTGACGAGTGTAGCGTTGGTTTCCTGTCGTATCTCCTCAATCCCTTTGAACTGAGGTGTAAGGAAGAGATTTATTTTGATGAGTTCTCTTCTTATTGGTTGAGCCAACGAAAAGGGACGGAAAAACAAGCTGCACCGGAATCAAAGACTAAAGGAGCCGAACACGACCAGCAGGGCACGAATAAAACTTCAACAAGGGAACACCACACGTACGGGACGAACGCAGCCGAGACACCGGAAACACAAATAAGGACGAATGAATTTCAAACGACGCTGGGTAACACGGACATAAATCCTTGGTAGCGCGCTGCAAACACGTTATATGATCCGCACGGCAAAGATTTTATACGGCCCGCGCGGCAGTCGCGTTATAACGTCCCCTTACCGGTCTGCCTCTTTCCGGAACATGTGCCTGCTTTTATGGAGTCTAAAATTTTAGCGTTAGCTAGCAGAAGAAGTCATTTGCATAGCCAACACCACTCAACTTACGGTCCCGACTATTTCATAGGGAAGCTGGTAGAGACTGTTAGCATCGAAGTTACGGTTACATCTAGACATTTCAACTGTAAAATGATGAGACCTAACCACCAGTCTAGTACTGTGCTTAAATTCATAAAGTAAGATAATGAATATTTCACCAGAACAGTTACCATGAAAGTATTTATAGAAAAGCTACATTACGGCCGTGACAAAGTGACTGAAGGCAGGTTGCCAGGTCGGGACTAATAATATTGCTGATATTTCCTTCCGTTTGAAAATTTTAGCAGTCGTTGGTTTCATTTCATTAAAACTTAGGTGTCATGGCTCTCCACAGATTCCTTTTTGTTATCATTCATGAATAGCCATGGCTGTTCTGGGGTGTTAAGAAGTCCACCTCCAACGAACTTATTGGGGATAATAACATTAGTTCTAGAACTTTCTAAACAGCAAAACAGTTTCATGCCTTCCTTTGAACCTCTCTGCCTTCGGTAGGCGGAAGAAGCCATCATTAATATACAGGCTGAAAAAAAAATTGACATCATTTTATAGTTTAATAAGATAGACAATTCTTGCTGAAATGGTCTCAGATTTGAAGAAAAAAAAGTGGGTAAAATCTCAGTTGACTCTGCGGAGAATCTACCAGGCTAGGAAGATGGATCGGAGTGCCAGTGATAATGACAATGTGTTGCTGAAATTATGTTGAGGAGGTTGCAATGAACTCTCTCGCGACCGGACACCACTTGTTTCCTGGGAACGTATTTTTATCTGATTAACACATTAAAAAGAACTTATGATTTTTTGAATCGTAGCACCTGCATCCCCTCTGTGACACTCACTTTGACTTGATCCACAAAATCGTATTTACAATATTCAGAAAGGAATTCGATTTATTTATCTTAATTCCTGCGAAACTTAAAATCGGAAGATAGGTCTTTGAACTTTTATTTATATATATATATATATATATATATATATATATATATAAATATTTGGTTGGATTATGGTGAGTTTGTGACCCTGGGTTTCACGCTTTTGCGATCGTCAGACAAACTGATTAATTTTTTTTTAAATTTTGGGTTTATGTAGATTGCGTGTATTGGTGTTATTATGGAAATGGGGGGGGAATCGTCGTCGTGATGTCATCGTACTAACGCAAACATAGATGCATGTCCGTACACCCGATGAGGTACGCAGACACACATACACAAAATTTAAAAAAAAATTAATCAATTTGTCTGACGATCGCAAAATCGAAACCCAGGGTCAAAAACTCACATCAATCCAACCAAATATTTAGCTCTGTCTCTGATATTGAGTGCTTTCTAATAATTACCACGCATATAATATATAAATAATTATATATATATATATATATGTGTGTGTGTGTGTGTGTGTGTGTGTGTGTGTGTGTGTGTGTGTGTGTGTGTGAAAATATATAGAAAATAGGAAAGAACTGGTTAGGTAAATAATCC